CCCCAAAACCCCAAAACCCCAAAACCCCTTTAGATGAAATACTAATGTAAAAGCTTTAACTTTTTAATCAATCTTAATTTCAAATCAAAATAACTTATTAATATATCATCATATATATTGCAATTATACTTTAAATACTTATTATTGATAGTTTACTACAAGGTTTAATCGAACTTGGTCTAGATTGCTCAACTTTATGCTTATCCTAGATTATTAGAATTACCTCTTGTGTCTTATATATCATTTTAAATCCAACTATACTGTTCAAATGCACCATGAATATTTGAATTGTGTTTTTAAGGTTAATCTAATATCTAAAAAGCTGTAATTCTTAACAAATTTTCTTCACCTTCTTGGTTTAATTCATTATTTTCGACTAGTGTCTAGTGATTCCTCTCTTACTCTGCATAAAAAGGAATACTTATATGTTCACAAATAGAAGCCTTTCTTTCCTATGTTTTGGTAGTTTCCTTTATCGACTAGGAAATTAGCAATATCAAGATAATTTCTGTCATATAGATCATAGATGTCAGAACTATCATTCCATGCTATTCAACCGGAAGTATGAAATAACTAAAAGCAAGATCATATATAAAGATTACAAGCTCTCTAAGAAAGATTATGCCACAAATGGTAAACATGAATACACTTAGAAATTTTACTGAGGTTTTCATATCGTCTATTTAATCTTGGTCTATCACATCTTAGTTTATTTGAATGAATTTTAGATAGTATTTCTTGAAGAAATTTCTAGCATACATATATGCACAAATGCAAAGTAAATTTACCAATGTAATTATAACAAGAAACATATAGTTTTGTACAGTTGTGCTCATATCGTCATCATAGGGTAAGCATTGATAGGTGGTCTTCCAGATAACTAGTCCGAATGTAAGAATCGATATAATGATCATCGTGATATGATATATTTTGTCCTTAACATCTTAAATTCTCATTTATCTTAGATTATCTCCGAACACCACATTACTATTATTTCCACTAGTGTTGAATTGACTAAATAGTCCCAATCTTTTATAACTGTTGATTAAAATCAGCCATCTCGTTACGTTTATCAAGACTGATATTGTCAATAATCCAGATGGTACATAGTATGAAACCTAGCTAACGCATTAAAAAATGAGTTCTCTATTAATGCAATCAATATCACTATTTGAGCATTATTATCAAGGTATGTAGTAAATTGTTCTCATCGTAATTTTAGATGATATGCCAGTGATGATAAAGCAAAAGCACGCTATTGTATAAGGGTCCTTCGAATGCCTGAATCTCTTGGTGTATTTTACAACGAAGTATATAAATATCAGCAGAGTGACGCTTTCAAAACATAGAAAGACTATATTTGTTATTTTTACAGGATCCATTATTTATTATAATTCTTTTATTAATTAATCTTTAAAAATTCATTAATCAAAGTAATCATTTTATAAACTTGTAGTGGGGTTTTGGGGTTTTGGGG